GTGTGTGTGTGTGTGTGTGTGTGTTCCTAAGGTGTGGCCTGGCTCTTGTGTAATATGAGCCTGTGTGTGTGTGTGAAATATTTTATTTTTCCATGCACACAAAAGTAAATGACAGGACGGTGACTGTCTGTCTCATGTGTCTGCCTCTTTTACATGTCTGCGTGCTCCTTTAGTCTTTAAAGACAGCGAGTTAGTCTGGTTTTCTAGCCTCTGACTAAAGAGTGTGGAGAGATGCTTCAGTTTGGCATAAATATGAACTGCCTGACATTTAAAGATAAAGAAAGTGCCATAGAAAAAATTACTGAATCTATAATATTAAGTGATTCTATATTTCTCATTGCCTTTACACTCTAATTAAACTGACAGCCACCAATGATCGAGTGATAAAAGTGCTTGCTGTGAGGTATGAGAAGTTACTGTATCATCTTTTTATCTGCACAAAATATGCAGAATACACAATGTTCTTTCCTGTCTGAGACACAACGCTCCTCATTACAAACTTCCTTCGACCGACATATTTCATCATATTTTCTGACTAAGTACAAAAGCTGAATCTGTAATTTCACACAGGAGAAGTTTGATTTGTCATGTCAGTGCACACGCACCATGTCCGTCAGGAACAAGGGAAACTGCTGACACAGCAGAACCCGAAAGCGACTCACTGCTGATTTGTGTAGTGTTCAAACGTCAACCTGATGCCTCATAAAAACTTTGCTCCACTTTACTCAGGAGGTTTATTGTGTCACTGCTGCAACAGCTGAGTGAGGAGTCATAAAATAAAGTTGCATGTAGCACGAGGAGATAAGACAGAATGAACAGAATGACCTCTGTCCCATTAGGAGATCTGTGACCTGTGACTTGAGGAGTCAATAAACAATACAGCAACCTGATTTTGACAGATTTGATTACATTGCCTAAATAATAAAATTAACTATGGAATAATAATTTATTGGACTAAAAATATTAAGGCTAAAAAATATCAGCATAACATAAGATCCACTTTCTGGAAATTCTGTGGCATTCACATCACACACAACCTAGAAAAATAACACGTAAACCTTATTTCGAGGCAAAGCCACCAACCTTTTTAAGCTGTTTTCATCAGACTTTACTGGTAATTTTATACATGAGGTTCTTCTTTGTATTATTACTTTTATTTTTAAATATTGAAAGTGTAGTTCTGAATTGTACACCAAAAAATAATGCGATTATTCAAGAACATAATTTAGGATTCATATAATTGGAGGGTTTTGTAGCTCACGGATACACAAGTTTAATTTATGACATACACAATACCAAGTGAGTGTGTCATGCTCCTAAGATTGTGTTGAATGACTAGTCTTAAAAATAAGGATTTGAATAACAGAAATATGAAAGATAAAAAAGGATAGAAAGCATCACTTTACATCACCGTGTAAAACAGGTCAAAGTCAAGGTAAAAGAGAGAAGGACAGAAGGAGATAAAAGTGTGTACTACTCAAGTCGGGATCAAACCAGGACTGAATGGCGATCGAGTGAAAGTAACATGAAGAAGCCCCTGTCCTGCCAGCTGAGTGCTCTCTATCAGTCTGAGCTTCTGGTCAGAGACGGAGCCAGTTGCCAGGGAGACAAGCCACCTTCAAGCAGGACGAGGGCTCTCACAAATCAACCCGGTCGTTCCTGTGACGTGAGCTGCGCTGATAACGTAACGTGTCTACACAATGAGCTTCTGTGCATGGGACTATGCAGCTGCTGGTGAGAAGAGCCTCATCTTTTAGAACCACCTCCAGCTTTTCTTCTCTCAGCAGCATCTTCATCCACAGGTTAACTCTCACTATATAGAGTCCACTGCTCTGCATGTTAGTGCCACCTGTCCTGGCAGCATGTTTCACCCCCCTCCCATAGTGACAATGAAATCACAGAGACCATCTTCCTCCTCCCATTGGCTGGTGAGCTCTGTGGGGATGCCTTGTGATTGGGCATGGCCAGCCTGCACAACCGGCCAATCAGCTTCACTGTATCCAAGAGACTGAAGCATGTGAGGCTATTTAAATCCAACCAAGGGCTCACCAGACTGTTCAGATGTATATTTCACAGTATAAAACTAAAAAGCCCAGGGGGGGGAAAGGTTCACTAGTGGACGAATGTGCAAATCCAGACAGAGCTGATTGGTGTACAAAGTGGTTGGCCCATGTAGACGGCCAGTTAAAGAGACCAAGAGAGGAGCGAGAGTTGAATGAAGGAACTTCTGCATCATGTTATCCTCCTGAACTCTGAGTTTATCCTTGAATATCCAGCCAATCGTACTACTCTGCTGTGTTTACAGTTGAGCTGACGCACACAAAGCTTCGGTGAGAGCAGGGACGGCTTCGGTTAAATCGGACGGACAGAGGAAGTAAAAGATGGAGGTCGTCAGTTCTCCTGTTGAACTACAGATTTTTTGTCAGGGGGAGGAGCCAACTATTGATCTTTCATGCGGAGCAGGAACGTTGCGTCAATTCGCAATGGACCACAACTACACGCTGACGTAAGTCTGCGGCCATTTTGTGCCCACTCGTGTTTTATTTTTAAACGTCATTGTGTAACGACAAAATGGTGGACATATCTGTATCCCGAGATAACAACAAAATAATTTTCAACGAGGAAAATGCAAAAAATAGCGGACAATGAGAATATTTGTAGTTGATTTTTTTGTATATTGCTCATATAACAGATTGTAATAATTCGTGATGAACTTTTCTCTGCATCTTTTGTTGAAGTACAATTTCAGTCTGAAATTGTAATATTCAACAAAACATTAAATTAGGTTTACCAGTTATGCTTTAATCGGCTTATGTATATATATGTTCTGAGCCGTAGGATTACCTGGTGTGTCTTTAGTGAATTTCTCTCATGAATTAGAGGAGAGGTGAAAGTAGACGACAGCTTCGACTGCTACAGTACAAACCGTAACAATGACAGTGTGTGTTGGTGCCAACATTAAAAGAAATACAGATAATATTTGTCCCATACTCAGACCTTTTTTTCAGACGACATATTATGTTAATGATCATGGTATGTTTCTCTGATATCAACAGAATGTGGTGAATTTTCTCACTGTAAAAGGAAACACTGTCGACATTGTCAGATAAATTCATATTATTTTTGTAAATTTGAGATAAGTTTAACATTTTGTGCATATTCTCTGTATCTGTATTCGCTCAGAAGCTTTTTATACTTTTTCTTTTTGCTATTTTTTCAGATGAGTTACTCAGTAAGGAATACATGTGATATACGTGTGAATGTTTGAAATTTGTCTTTAGATAGTATTAGATAGTTTAGATAGTATAGTATATATATATATATATATATATATATATATATATATATATATATATATATATATATATATATATATACATATATATATACACACACACAGTTATAAGAAAGAGTTGCATTTTAAAAAACATTACATGACTTTTACAGCTTTGTGATGGGCCTGAATTTGGTCATAAGGTCATGACCAACTATTTAGTGCCCAGAAATATTAGGAAGTATTTTCCATTTTAGAATAAACAGAGTAATAATTTAACAGAAGGCCAAACTATGTATTATGAGGAACATGGAGGAGCACTCTTACCGCTGTGAGTGTATACTTGTAGCTGTGTGAAATTAATTGAATCTGTTCTACATGGTGTGAACTTATTGACACATACATTTTGTTATCTTTAAGGACCAATGGAAAACAGGGCAGTGATATCGTGTCGTACATTAACATGAGTGTAGCTGTGTGATTTATGACAAATAAAATAAACTGAAAAATGACTTACCCGTTTGCCAGTGTAATGTAGGAGCAGGACTCGTGTCACCTCCACGGACGAAGAAAACTTGAAAAACACTTCTTTCAAACTCTTGTGAAATACGTTAAATCAATAAAAAAAAGTAGTTTTAACCATTGTGCTCCTTTATATTTGTGTCCCTGGAGGAACGGCAGCAGGTTTTAAAGGAACAAAACGTCCGTTAAAATGAGCAGTTGAAACTTTAGCTTCTCTAATTAGCATTAGCTACACAGCTGGAGCACGCGCGTCCCCGTGCTGCGCGAGCCCGCCGCTGCTCGTGCAGGTGTGCTGCTGTGGCTGGTTCCTCTGCAGCTGGGACACTTGTTGGAGTTTCACAGATCTCAGCGCAGATTCGGTCTCCGGGAGGAAGCTGTGAGTCCGTGTGGACCGGTCACCGTCACCGGCTGTTTCCCATCCAGGATTCCAGCGGGTTTACCGGTGAGTTTTGTTCTGTAGGACCCGTGAATGAGCCTCGTTCTCGGCCGCCTGTACAAACTCTCTCTGTGTGTCTCCGCTGCTCGAGGAAAAGTTGGACACACTTTCCACATGAGCGTGTTTTTTCAAATGTCATTGCACCGTGTAAACGATAAACACGTTAGACTTCCGGGTATCGGGTTATTTTGTGTCTTGAGTTTTGTTGTCGAAGCTGCTGCCGCGGCGTTTGGTCACCATGGCGACGGAGCGTGAACGCGCAGAGGGACTTCTTCATTCACTCACATTTGAATTTGAAGTGGAAGAAATCCACAAAATGTGATGCACCACTGGACCTATATGTTTTTATTATCATGATATCACAGGAAAATACATTTTATTGTAACCAGAATAAATCATTAGGCTGCAGCTCTGCAACACTGTTGTTTTCCTTTTATCAATCAATCAATCAGTCCAATTTTATTTGTACAGCCCATATTCACAAATCACAATTTGTGTCAAGGGATAATTAACCCAAAAATCTAATGCTGATGGGGGGGTGGGTGAAGTCCATAAAACACTTTTGGAGTTTCAGGGGTAAACAGCATTGCAGCCAAATCCAACCAAATTGAAGTGACTGGCGACAGATTCTTCAGATGTAAAATACAACAGAAAAAAAATTAAAAACTTGACCCCAACGCCCCTTCAGTAGTTTTGCTCCTAAAGCTACTTGGATTTCCTTGGTTTTCTTTCTCATCTAAATCCAGGGATGTTTAATCCACCACAGTGAAATAGAGCTTTTTGTAAAATAAATCTGTCCCACATCCACCACTAAAATGTTTCTTTTCCCCAATCCCCATTTTGTTTTAAATATTTACTTGGGTAAGCACATTGAGAGAGTATTGAAAAAACAATGTTACTCAAGACTGAATGTGATGGTTTGTATGGATACATTGTGGGGACTCTACATTCAAAGTAAAGGATGTGGATACTGGAAGTATTTCTGAGAATTCTCAGAAGCATTTCCCTCCTAATGTTCTTTTTATGTTCTGGCATTATCCAGATTTTTTGTTTCCCATTAGTGATACACCCTGTAACCGCTCGCATAATGAAGTCAAACCACTGAAGTCATCTGGAGTCTGTTTTGGCAAATGTCACACAGGCCTAGATGGCCTCGATGGAGAGGAAACGTGAGATTTGCAGCCCCTTCTTTCCACGGCGCAACTCTTTGAGGAAAACCAGTGCGGAAATTGTCAGTGAAGCCAGACAATCCCTGCGAGTCCAATCCACCCATCGGCCGTTCACTCCCAGGGATGGACACAGGCAGCTTTTTGGGAAGAGCTCTGTGCGTGTGGGTCACGACAACAGACCTCCATCGGCCTTCAGGTTAGTCACAAAGTCAGCCCACATCTTTTTTCAGTCAGGTTCTGAGGTTAATGTGAAAAAGTAATCAGCCATTTTCCCATGTTATAGTCTTCATGCTCAAAATTTTGATGCTCCTGATTCGAGGCCAAGTTCAGGGACACGTCTCTCCCCACTGGACCACGTAAGTTCCTTCAGACATAATCGCATGCTGTAAATTGTAATCTAAGAAGAAATCCATTCAGATTTAGGGGTTTTTTGTACAACAGTGGGATTTGTTAGTACATTATCATGAAAACTGACCAAATATTTAGTGAAAGGAGCAGGAAATGAGATTGGGCCTTCTAATAACTGGGATTTTAATGTTAATATATGAAATAAAAGATAAGAGTAACAGCAATTATCAGATCTTTCTGCGGATGTAAGTGTTTTCATTGTTGGATCAAAGCTCTGGCTCATTGTTCTCACCATGCTGCTGACATGTTATTCACTGTACCAGAAGCCAAGGTTTCCACTGCCCAGTGATGCTGAGGATGCATTCAAAGCTCTCCCCAAACCCCCCGCTGACCCACTGGAAGTGAGGAGGGGGCGGGCAGGGGCACGGACACGTCTCCTCAGGGCTGGATCTCTCACCACGTTGCCTCCGGTCGAGGGACACACAGATGGTAAGGCAGGATAGAGAATATTAGTGTCTGGATCAAGGGAGAAAATACTGTACGTTGGATGAAAGAAACAGTGTGAACTACTGTGGTGAGCATCCATTTTTTAAACTGGTTTAAAGTAAAAGTAGAACCCTTTATTTCAGTCGGGGCAAGGTTCTAACTCTTCTGTGAAGACTAGTGCTAAAGCAGCTTTAAAACCGGAATGAATAGAGCCATTCACATACCGACATTACACCTGATTTACATTCCCTGCTGTTGGACCTCGGTGGAAAAAACTTAATTTACTGCTGCTGTGTTGAAGGGGAACTGACTCCTCTCCTATAAAACTGCTCTGCTATTCAAAGCAATAAAACAGATAATGGAGTCTGACTAGATTCTTTGACCTGTTCACAAATATTTTTGCGTGATTGTGTGAATGGACACTTGTACTTTTGGCCATGTGAGTAAACCTGTAAATAACTTCTTTTCTACATGTCAGTGACACAAACATTAAACCCGGGACAAAAGCAGCTGTCAGCTGAACGCCACCCGAGTAAGGACCACACCACGGTCCGCAGCGGTCCTCACAAACCTGGCCCACACAGAGCAGCGAGTGAAAGGTATGCCTCCTATGCTTCCCTTTGACTTGACAAGATCTGCCCTTCTCTCTCTCATCTGCCCTTCCTCCCTCTTTTTGATTCAATTGATAGTCGGACAATGAGTCGAGGATTTATTGGTATGCAAAGGTTGCAGCCATAGCCATTAGGTGATGGAGTTTGTGCCTCCCATTGAATCCTCCCCCGCCTCCTTTTTGCCTTTCTCTTTGCTCAGCCCCAGTATGTTAAATTCATAGAGTGTCTAATGTCTTTATTTGTTCTTGTCCATAACTTATCAAAACTGCTGGGAACAGAAAATTGTAAACAAATACCTTCTCTGATATCATTAATCATTGTTATTCTCTTTACATTCCATATGGATTAATGGAAGAAAAACGCTAATCAATGGTAGCTTATTGCTATAGAAGGCTTATTTGCATCTGCAGCTTATAATTATAATTATAAGTATCACACTTTTAATCACAACTGCAACACACAAAATTCTCATATTCTATTTCAAGGGAGGGTTGTGTTTGGTCAAAAACAACTAAAGTAAATTACCCATGAACATTTTTAGATCAAAAAGTTTTCAAACTACTATTTCACTTGATCCAGAGGCTAAAACTTTCCATTATATTGTGGTACTAGTGATGAGCTGCATGTATGAAGTCAGTTAGACCATCGATGGTGTCACTAACTAATAAAAGGAGCAAATTCTTCAACTTCACACACTTGACCCTTTTAAACCCTCGGATACTTTACTGTACACCACATCTTGGTCAGATAAATCCATCTTCTTGGTCAGCTTCATTCCCAATGAAATCCACCTCAATCTGTCGTTACTTTCATGTGTCAGCTTTTACACCTTCGCAGTACAGAGAGGCTAAAAGCTCGACTTTTTTCTGCCGACCTCATCAGCTGTGTGTCAGCACGAGGGGCATAACTCCAGGCGTGAGGTCGGGGGGGCTGTCGTTACAATCCATCCGCCTATCGATTGGGTGGGGCAACTGGGGCTATAGAAGGGGGGACAGACCATAAAACACTTTTACAGGAAATCTGGGCTCTCGCCCCGCAGCACATCCTCCTCTCTCCAGAGCCAAGTTAACACGCAATGTTTATGTAACTTGTTGCTGACAAAGAGAGGTCCCGAGAGATCAGACTGTGGTCAATTTATGATAAAAGAGGAGTGGTTTAAAGACTTCCTCTTCTTGATTAGCGTTGCGTCTGAGTTCTTTTTCTATAAGGTGCACCGGGCAGAGACAGAATGGCAGGGAAAGCCAAACCAGAAGTCGAGGAACTGCAAGTGGAAATAGACACAGCATGACAGATTAATATGATGAGTTGGACGAGATCTAAAGATAGGGGAGATTAGACGTCCACTAGGTTCTTTTTCTCCAATAAGCCAGAGCTTTATAGCTCCAAATGGCTCTCTATTAGATTTGGGTACCCATCTGGGCAAGGCTGGCAGCGGCGTGTGTTGTGACTGCAGTGCACTGGCCGGGCCTAAGACAGGGATGAGGTCATGTCTCAGCGAATGCAGTATCACACAAAGAGGCCTTATTATCAGGCTCTTAATCCTATCATACAGAGCCAAAGCCCCCTCTCTGACATTCACCATGCCTCTGCCCACAGCTCCTGCTGCATGTGCCCTGCGTGCCAGCTTATACCAATCACTAAATCTCCTTCAAAGTGAAAGTGCACTCTACAGTGACAACCGCGTGCTGTACACTAATGCTGGTGTCAAGCACCTTCTTAGTGATGCTGCAGTGGAATGGAAAGGAAACGTGTTTAAAATAGCTTGGGTCATGTGTGTCTCATACCTGTCAGCAAGACAATGAAATAAATCTCAGTCGAGTGTAAAAGCTCGAGCCTATTCTGTGAATGTCAATCGAGGCTTCAGACAGTCCTGATGATATAATGGTGGTTCCACTTCTCCATAGTTTTTAAGGCTGATTCACGCTCATTTGTGAGATTTGCTCAGTAATCGAGGTGATTAGTGTGACTCAACAAGCTCCTTTGTTCATCTCTGTTTATTAATAATTATCCTCTGAGCTGTTCTCATAGTAATTAATCATAAGGCTCACCACCTCTCATGTTTCCCAGGCTTTATTATATCACCGAGCCAATCTTTCAATGTGTGAGTGGAGCGGTGCAGACTTGACCGTGACACGCAGAGGCTGAGCTTCAACAGTCGCACGCAGAGGGCTTGCCGCAACACATAACATGACATGACCCAGGGCGGGCGTTAGAGAGCGCTTCACCACACAAAGACTGTGGAGACGGCCCTCACTGAAAAACCAGGAGCTGCTTCAACCAGACTGCCCACAAAGACAACATCTTAGTTCCTGTTGGTTAGAGATTGTTCTTTGACACAGCACAGACACAGTCACACAGACACATACAAGCAGTAACACACACAAAAACTAGACACACGTGTGTATTGTCATGTGAGTTCGTATGTGCATGCTAAGACACGTTAAAGAATCAGCACCTGCCCACAGGCCTCAACGCCTGCTGCAACAGTGACACCTAGTGGCACTTGATGAGCATACACCTACAGACTTATTATCAGCACACCAATCGGCAACTGTTGATGGAATAAATTATTTGACACAATTAGTGTTTTAGAAGTTCTGTGTATCTCCCTGGTTTGTACTTTAATGTCTAAATAAGTCCAAAGGGAAAAGTTAGTAACCACTCCCTGTGTTTAAAATCTGATCTAACCCCACTCTTTGTGTTTCTGTGCACCGACAGTAGAATAAAGCAGGCTGGTGTTGACTCAGGAGTTAGACCCACTGGCTGCACAACAGGACAGAGAACAGGTTTGTCCAGATACACTAACCTTCTTATAATAACATGGGCCCACTTCTCTCTCTGTAACTGAACAAGACTTTGTCAAACATCGATTGGGATGTTGTTGCGAATTTCCTCCTCACAGAGGCAGCCAGCGAATAGCCGAGAGAGCTGTTGGTTTGAGCAACCACAGTTTCCTGCAAACCAAGCACGAGGGTTTGCAAATGTTCAGCAAAAAAAAAAGGTCCATGGCGTGCAAGAGGTTGCAGACATTTACATGCACAAACATGTGTTTTCATCACACATGCAGACAATCTCACATCAGTACAGAAACAGTTCAGAAGGAAGTTAGGCTGTGGACGGTGACCTTTCATTGTGCCATCAAACTTCCTGCAGGCTTATTTTAAGACGGTGAACTTGTGAACTTGCCACTTGTGTTCACCGTCTGCATTCGGTAGTGTTTATTTGGCAACACTGCAAATAATCTCCCCGCACCTTTCAGAGCTCGAGAACGGAGACAACGCCACAAGCACGGAGGAGGATGCAGAGTCATCGGTGTGGAATAATAAGATCGGTCCTCTTCTGCAACAACTGGAGAGTGTGGCTGCAGGTACTGTGGCAAGAGCATTGAACCTCAGTAACAAAGTGCAAACACATGACATACATCGGTCATTTGACCCATAGAATATATTGTTTCTGTCACCCACTCCACTCACTCAATATTACTTTTAGGCTCTGGTCTTTTTGTATTAGGGCTAAGTTTCCTTTATAGTGTTTCCCCTTTTTTTGCACAACCATTCATCAAGTGTGATAAAATAAAAAAAGAGCTGTGATTCAATTGCTGAAGAAAGACAAACAACACAAGTGATGTTGTGTTTGGCGAGTGAACAGAATTGTCTTCGCCTGGAACTGCAATCCGGCACCCATGACTCCAAATCTACAGCTGTAAATATTTCAACACTTTGTAATTTAATGGAAATTTCATTTGAAAGATAAATATCAAATATTTATTGCCTCCATGTGCCTTGTGGCTCATGCATAAAACACCTCTGAGATGTCGTGTTGAGTGTGAGACTGCAGTCATGCTTTTTTGGAAATGGCCAAACCCTGTTATTTATGCAGGGAAAACATTTATTTTACCTCAAAAACAAGGAAAAGGCTCCACCCTCGCTCTTCCTCTGCGTCAAGATTGTAGCCGCCTGTTGCAGAATTGTTTCCCTGCAATTGACCATTGAAACTCAAAGCTGCTTCTCAGAAAAGGAAGAGGAATGTTATTCTAACTGCTGACCAGTGTGTTATTGATGTCGACAATTTACCCTCGAGTTCCTTATGCAGATAATAATTGCACAATATGCAGTATAGGGCCTAAATGTACACATATGCTCCACAACACCCACAAAGCATCACTCACGTGTATTTATATGTACACACATGCCAACACACACACAGGCGAGTGTTTGCTTTCTCTGTGAATGTTTGACATGTTGCCCTGAACTTGACCTATGTTTATTTAGATTTTTGTTTCTGTATTTTGCAATATCTTCTTTCCTGCAATGCCAGGCAGCTCTGAGGTCTCGGTGGACCGTCTGTGCGATTTGTGTGATGGCCTCCACGGCGCCTTGGCACAAGCGGACATGCTTGGCCGACTCTGTAAGAGGAGGTCGGGGATCCTTCGAACACTGTTCCGCCTCATCGACCTCAACTCTGCCCGGCTCAACCTGCACATCGCCCAGCTCTGCCTGGCTGTGAGTCATCTCCGTGTGTGTGTGTGTGTGTGTGTGTCTGTGTGTGTCTGTGTATGTGTGTGTGTGTGTCTACCACTAAGTCTCTCAAGGGCGGTTAATAGAAAAGTTTTGTTTTTTATATTTTTCTCTCCAGCTGTGTGTCAGTGGGAACAACCTGCTCAACATCTGCAAGCTCATCTTCCAGATCAGCCGCAGTGAAAGCAATGACGTCCTCTTCCAGAACAACTCTATCATAGGTCAGGATTAACTAATTCAGTGGTGTCCTATTCTCTACCAAACTCTGTTTAATATAAATCCTTATTACCTCTGTCAAAAGAGGTTATGTTTTCATATGCATGTATTTTTTTCATTAGTTAGCAGGATTACGCAAAAACTACTGGACAGATTACCATGAAACCTGGTGGGGGGATGTGGTGTGGGTTAGGAAGGAAGCCCGGAAACAGGTTTTTCTTCTTTTTCTTTTTGCATTGTCAGGGCATTTTGCAATTTGGTGCAAATAAAATCCGGATTTATTGAATTTAAATGTGGTTTCATAAAGGGACTGTTGGGCCCGTATGAGCTCTACTGAGTGCCATTCTGGATTTTATCTTTTCTTTTTTGTGGTGCCATTTTTGTGAACCGCATCAAGTCAAATCCCATCTATATTGATTAAAACAGTTGATGTTTTCTTTTTTGAATCTGTGTCTAGACTCGTTGCTGGGTGTACTACGTAACGAGGATGTGTCTTCATCAGGGGAAGCTCTCTTGTACTGCATCGGTACTCTGAAATTTCTCTCGGGAAACTGTGCCATCCTCAGACTCCTGCTGGACAAGAACTGTATCGGTGTGTCTCAGAAACTCATCCAGAGGCTTCACACAGTGGAAGACGCTCACTTCAGTATAGCAGGACACATCATTGTACAGGTGAATCCTTTTATAAATGCAGGACAGCAGTGGAGTCTGAAAAGTTTGCTAAAAAGAACACAATGTTAAATGTTCCTCTTTAGGTATGTTTGTTTATGTCTGTGTGTAAATGACTACAAGAGCATAATGTTCTTTTCTGATTTAGACAATCCAAATCCAGAACACGCCCTGCTTCCCTCTTCCTTGAATGATTGCTGTTTAACCGCACACGTTGGCCCGAGCGAACGTCTCGAGCCAGCGCTGCATTTGATATCCAACACAAGTCATTATGCTGTTAGAGGAGGGAAATGAGCAGACCATTACTTTCCAGAACTTTCAGTGTTGCCGTGTGTTGGAAGTTTCTGTTTCCTTCTTGTGATAGAATGATTTATGTCCATGCTGAATAGTTTCCGGTCACTCTGCTGCATGGCGTCCTGCACAGGCCAGCCGCCAGCCTTAATGAGCATATGACCGACGTTGTGCTCTGTGGCCACAACACAACACAACACTGACACGCAATACTGCTCTAAACACAGACCAGTGAGATACTTAAGATGTTTGCAGACGTCACACTCTCATATCTCTCCATTTTTATCTCCCTCTGTCTGACCTCTGACCCCTGCAGCTGACAGCGACCCTGAGGAACCTCGCCGATCATCCCGACTCCCGTCTGCACTTTGTGTCCTTCTCTTTGCTGTCAGAGCTTTGTCTGGTGCTGCGCCGTCACCGCAAAGACCAGGACATCTGCACAAACATTTCCAGAATATACAGGTAGCACACACACACACACACAAACACACAAACACACATATGGTTTTAATATTTGACTGATTGTCTCACTCCAACTGTGGTTTGGCTTCAAAGTTTTCTTTCTGGAGATGTCTCCCCTGTTCCCCTCAGCTCAATAATGTTAAAAATCACAAACTTTAATATGCTGAATCAAAACAGACTATCACTCACCCTCTGTTCATTTTTCACCAGCAGCTGCTCTTCAGTAAATCCCCCCTTTTATTTTACACTCTTTCATGATGTCTTTTTATGGCGTCGGGTGTCACAAAACAAGAGTTATGTAGCATTTGTGGTCGTACATCTGTGTTTGCATCCGTACCGCAGCAATAACAGCTCATTTCTGCTTTTACTTATAGTTTTCAGCTTCACCGATCTGAAAATATAAATGACTTAAAATACACAAACATACATACCTATATTTGTAGTGTATATGATATTTATGGGTAAAAATGCCAAATAATGTTAATTGTCTTTACTTAACAATTACAAAAATTAACTAACTGGGAACAATCTTGGTGTGAGGCGACAGTGCTGACCACTGTACCAACGTGACACCCTTGCTCAGAACAAATGGTGTACAATATGTGCCAGCTGTGCTCTTGACCTTTCATACAAGTACATGAGACAATTGTTTCATGAAAAACCTGGCAGAAGTCTTTGGCACCAAAGTAAATCAGGTCCCAGTGACCCTGCTCCGGCAGCAGGCCCCTCACTTCAGGCTCAGTATCCTCTGACCTCACTGTCTGCACCCAACAGAAATATCAAACCCAAAATACTCACATCTTCACATTGTCACTCCAGGGCTCCAACCTTCTACTCTGGCACAACATGTCATGTCAATCCATCTGTGAAGCACAAAACCTGTTTAGTATAATAAAATGTGTTTTTTGCCAGTGCAAAATATGAATAAAGATTTTTCTCAGGTCTGAGTGCTGAAACAAATAGTTGCAGTCTGAATATTTTCACCCAGGATGATGAAAAGATTCAAGCCAAGGCTTTCTTATCCATTAGCAGTGTTGATTTAATATCTCCTTATTTAGTCAGCATAGCAGAGGAGTCAGTGGGTCTAATGGTCATTGGTATTTGTTGTCCCCTCTCTCCCTCAGTAAACTATCCTCTTACTCAGAGTGCCGACTCGCTCTGGCCCAGACCCCCGACTGCTACCGACTATTTTTAGAACTGCTGAGCAAACATCGCCAAAAACAGGTGAGTCCACGAGCTCTCCTGTGTGTGTGTGTGTGTGTGTGTGTGTGTGTGTGTGTGTGTGTGTGTGTGTGTGTGTGTGCGTGTGCGTGTAGACACTTGAAGACAAGCTTTTCCAGCGTTCATGAT